TACTAAGCAGGTCTTCTGTAATCTCTAAAGTTCACCCAATATCTTGAGACCTTTTAACTTGAAGAAACATAAACTAATGCTCCAATGATTTTGCTTTTCACCTTGTTCTGATAGTAAGTTGAACGTGAAATTCAGAAACTGATATGACCTATATAATTTAAAGAAAATAAGTTTCTCTCAGCAATGAACATAAGAGAATTATCATGGCTCAGAGACAAATATACATTGATTTATTACTCTGGGCTTGAAGTTCTGTCATGCTGTAATGCTATGTTCAAATACTTGCTGTATGGAGGAGGCACAATTAGCTGGAATTTCAAGGAAATAGAAATACATTTGAAAGAGGACCTGTTGTTTTTCCCAACTTCTCTGTCTCCCACCCAGCACTTCCACTTAAAAAGTGTTCCTCTTTCTCTGAGTCATTTAAGCTGTAACTGCATATTGCATGAGACTTGAGGAAAGAGCATTTCTGCTGGTGAGCAGCAGTCCTTGGACACAGAGTGCAGCACCAGGTGACATCCAGCAGGCTGTGCCAGTTGATGTTTGGACACAGGTGAAAATAAAGCAAAAAATCTTCACCTAAAATGAATGAAACGTCAACATGAGCATTGCCACTAACAGTTTAGTGAATGACAACTTTTGAAAACTACCCACATCAATCACTCTTCTAGATGGAGAAACAAGACAAAGACATTTACCCCAAACTGTTGCCATTTGGTTCAATAAACTGTATTAGTTAGCATTGGTTTGACATTAGTAGTAGTTATGCTAAGGCTTGGTAGGCCACATGTAACCTGCAGATGAACTATACGGCAGATATTGCAATGTAAGCAGTGTAACTAGGAGATAATCTAGGAATGTACTTTTGGCAAAATTTAAATGTCAGAGAGATAATCGTACCAGGTAGTGAGAGAGAATTAAGAAATTATGATGATGAAGAAATCGTGTAGAAAACATATAAAAACCCTGTGATTTTTCTGTGAAATGGGGCTCTGTCTTTGGACGCTAGTCCACAGGCTCCCGGGCCCTAAATAAAGCACCGCATAAATGACTTCGGTTGTTTGTGTTTTCTTCGGATCGGGCAACAAAACCAGCACTTATTTATTTGTTTGTTTATTTCTTTCTTTCTCTGTTTCACAGCGTCCTTTCACTAATATTGAATAGAGTGTGAGTGTGCATGATTCCATACATTTGCATTACTAATGTAAATGTATTCTTGCAAATTTGCTATTATTTCCAAAATCTTTTTTAATTAATGTGTAATAGGAAAGACCATTTACAGAGAAAAAGTTACAAAATGCTGCAGTGATGGCTTCTCTTCAATGATAACTCTTTCTGGCCATTACCTTCTCATGCTGATTCCTTCTCTTTTCCTGGAGAAAAATCGCATGGCCCCGACAGAGGTCTTGTGACTAGTGATTTGCTGGACCATGTCTAACCTCTTGGAATGTAGCTATTACTTATCCTTCTTCTTTAACATCCCTACTTTCTTTCTTTCTTGGTTCTACAAGATTGCTTAAGCCTTTTATCTTATCTTGCTTCATATCCTTTTGTCCAAGTACCAAGTACTGTACACTCTGGGATTGTTTTCTACCCAAGAATAACTGTTGTCTTCCTCTCTCTGATTCTACCTGAGTTCTGATTTTGTTTGGTAACTTCACTCCATTTGCTCAGTTTTACTTCCAAGAACACTTTCTTCCCTGATATTCACATTAAAGTACATGGAGACAATGACTTGGTAGAAAGGCATGCCCATGGACCAGACAAAAGAGCTAACAGCAACCATTGTGTGCTTTAGAAGAACTTCCACGAGCTTGTTAGAGCACTGAAAATGTGCATACAATAATGTTTCAACATGGAAGTGTCTCATTAGAATTCACTTTATTTTTTTCTTATTGACTAAAGCAAACAGAAAAAATGCAGGTAGAGACACATGAACTTGTCAGCTTGTAGAGTGAGTTTAAGCCACACCTTACAGTTGCAGCATGTTGCTGACACAGCAGTGTAAGGATCAGCATGAAAAAGCACTCCCCAGCTTATGCAACTTTATCTGCAAATCCTCATGGTCTGAATGCAGCAGAGGAGTGCTGTTGTCAGCTTAGCTAATTATGTTTAGCACCAATCTATACTCTCACATCTGTTGTCAGAAAATCTTTTCCCAAGACACTGCTGCACCTCCACAGAGAAGCCCACCTGTGTAACTACACCAGCACAGCAGAAGTTTTCCAGAACACATGAGCTAAAACCCAAACTGAATGTCCACCTGGATGCCCAGCTCACCAGCTATCACACTAAATAAACATCTCAGTGCCCACTTTGTTCAAAACATTGCTAGTGCAAGCCACAACACTCCTAATTTTAGTCAGCCAAGAGCATGGCTACACGTGTACATTCTAGAACATACAGAAACTTCCCAAGCACCCTCAGTAACAGTCACCAGCTGTATGCAGTTACTTGATTCTGAAAAATGCTCAAGTTAAAAGAAGCACAAAATGGAAAAAAAGAAAGAAAATTTAATAGGGAAAAAAAACCATGAAGAAAAGGAAAAACAAAGAAGTCTACAAGCTACCCTGTAGCTCAATACATTATTTGACCATACTGGTAGCAGACCACTTCCTATTTATGAATTCTTGCATACAACTTTTCATGAAACAAAGCAAATAGTACAGTAGATTTTTAAATATTTTTTATTATTCTGAAATAACAGAAATTCCCATAAAAATGGTATCTGAAATACAACTGCAGTCCCCATGAGGCAAAGCCTAGTTAATACAGCTGTGCAGATTTGAAATAGCTGTTTGCATGCTCCTGAGGACTGTGCTCACCAGCTGCAGGTGAGTCCCAGTGGTGACTGCAGCACCTGGACACTGGCAGTGGAACCACGCCCTCAGCTGCTCATGCTACATTTCTGTAAAGTTAAGCAGTAACACTGCTAAAATACATGTTCAGACCAAATTCTCCTTCCATAGCTGTGAACTTACCTTCTTGTGATACTCAATTAGTACCATTTGATAAGTTCTCTTCAAGGACACACACTTTGCGGCCAGATCAACATGAGTGGTAGGCATGAAGAATTGTACCTAACCTACCTGATGAGGTCTTGAAAGGTTCCTCCTTCCAAATCCCTTGCATCTCCAGAACCTTGGCAACACAGGTTTGTGTCAGGGATAAAACAAAACTCAGGATAAGGAGAAAATATAAAAAAAAATGGGAAGGGAATAAAAACATTATCCTTGCCTTCTTGAAAGTCAACAGCAGCCAGCTCTGTATTCAGGCCACAGGTCTAAAACTGGCAGCAGCCCTCCACAATAGCAGTGGAGGGTGTTTGCAGCTCTTAATACAAATGTAGCCCCGTTTGCAAGTCAGATGTATTCATGGCACAATCCATGCAACAGCCAACTGTTTCCAGCACAAAATTCTGAACCACATAGAAACTTAGGTAACAAGTACTTAAAAGCAAGGTAGCAAATACTTAATATAATGAAATATTAACAATATAGTTAACCTTGTACTGACTTGATTATGTAACTCAGCAAAACCTCCACTGCTAAAATGAACCAGAAGTGCCATGTGGCTGTGACACCAAAATTAAATGGTATCACTTCAGGATTCAGGTCAACTGTCAAAAGGATGACAGGTGGCTTGGGCTATCTAGGCTGAATCTATGTTTCCCTTTGATAAATATCAACAATGAACAAATAAAAATAACTAAAACACAGTTTTAACATCTGTATTAATTCTAATGATGGAATATATGTTTTATGGATTTATCACTTTTTTGACTGTTACAAGTGAAATACCTCATTTTTGTATTCTTGTAGCAACAAGTATAATTTAAATTTATCTACCTATGACCAAGCCAAGTTCCAGTCATGACTTTGCAGGTTTCATTTCACTTTAGCTAACAGACATAGATCATATTACATTTATTTTTCTTGTGTATTCCATTGATGCTGATGATACTCAAGGTCCAGAATCTGTAAGATGAATCCTACGTAAAGGACACAAACAGAGAAGGTGATACTACAGGCATATATATCTGCAAAAGGCATTGAAATGACAGCTTTCACCTGTGGATGGTCAGGGTCGGTGAAACTTTTCATTTTTGTAGGTTCTTAGAAGGCAACTGCTAAAGTAAATCCCAAAGCAGAAAGCTTTTTTTTTTTTTGTCAGTTCTTAAGAAATAATTTACACATGAAATACATACTAAAGAACAAATGTTGCACTGCCGATCAGGTGTTGTACTATATACCAGCTTTTCCGCTTAATCATGGCAGGATGTTTCTTGAACAATCGTTGACATATTAAATTGTATGCTTAATTGCATTGAGATGCAGCAAAAAATCCTGTAACTCAACACCGTTTTCTCAGGAGCCATAGTCCAAAGTATAACATAAAACATACTTATTTTCTTGGCAGAAGTGATGTATCCTTGGATCAGAATTGCTGGGAAATCTGCAGGTACAAATACAACCCCTCATGTATCTCAAAGCCATAAATGAAGTGGGAACAATGATTGGAGAACTTTCAAACAAGGGAAACTTAAAGTTCCCCCACTCCCACCCCATCCCTACCAATTGGATAGATAATTGGCAATAATTGTAAAAATATGAAGTGGAAAAAGATGCGATGGGTTTTGTTATAAACCAATGCCCGCTTATCTCCAGTTAGTGTCTCCATCCATTTAAAAGGCGTGTTTTGCACTTCTAAGCAGTACTCCGAGGAATTGCTCTGTACGGTTCAATCAAAAAGAATTAAAGTCTGAAAACGTGACACTCGGAGAGCCGCGAAGCAATTCCTGAGTAAGAGGAACGCCGCGGACAGGGAACACTCCCGGAACCTCCCTGCCGGAGCGCGGGCCGGGCCGGGCCGGGCCCGCCGCCACAGCGCCCGCCCCCAGCAGCCCCTCGCTGCGATTGGCCCGAGCGGCCCCACCCGGCAGCAATCTCACTTCTGGTTGGCTCAAACTTCCGGACGGCTTCGGGGGGCGAATGAGGCGCGGGGTTGTTTTCCCGTCCCAAGATGGCGGCGCTCAGTGGTGCTTCTGTGGAAGGGAATGGCGGGGAGTGAAGCCTGAGGGAGCGGGCCGGGGCCGCGAGCGCGGAGGGGGATGAGGTGACGCCGCCATGGCGAGCGACGGGGGCAGGAAGCAGTTCTGGAAGCGGAGCGGCGCGAAGGTGCCGGGCAGGTGAGAGGACCCGCGGAAGGCCGGTGTCGCGGGCCCCTGGATGATGCCGGGCCAGGGGGGGCTTCTCTGCCCGTTCGGCTTCACTGTGAATCCAACACCGCGTTCCTGCCCCTCGGCCGCCCGGCCCAACGGGACCTCGCGGGTCCTGTGAGTCTCCGCCGCAGGGACCGTGTCCGGATTGCTTTGTTAGCTCAGTGCTCGGAGCCTTCCAGTGCTGGGCACCTCCGGTGGTCTGCTGGAGATTGCTGGTGGTCAGTTAGCGTTGGTTCTGACTTGTGTCAGAAAGGTCGTTAAATAATTATCTGAATGTGCCTTCCCTTCTGACATCATGGTTAAAGGAGTTAACGTGATCTTGGGAATGTATTCACCGGGGAATTTTGAGTGGGAGTTTGTAACTCTCAGCAGTGCCAAGTTCGGATGTTTTGAAACTTGATACAAGTTAAGATATTTTGGAAATACTTTACAGAACACTGCGTTTTCTAGGCATATAAATGTTTTAGTTTCTGCTACGTACTTCAAAATATTGTCAGTTTCTTAACTTTCTTCCTGAAGTGTGAACAGCAGACCAGTCGTTGTATTAATGCAAGGAGCTACAAGCACATTTTCCCAGTCAAGATTTTCCAGGGAATAGATCCCCAAAGTCACATTAACTCTTTCGACTGTTATATTAGGCTGGGAATATGTGTTCAGATGATTACTTAACAATAACAATCTCTGGTCTCATCCCTAACTTGTTCTCTCAGTACAGTTTTCTGTGTTCTTTTTGTAAGAATGATGTGTGCTTGTGGTTCTCAGAGAGCAGTCACTCTGTATTCTATATCCTTTATGGGAATCAGCAACATAGTCTTGCTCATTATTTACCTTCTTACATTTTTTGTTACCCATGATCACTAACTGGGCGTGGTTTTGTTTCTTTAGTTACAAACTGACTTTTTCAGTGCAACTGTTGTACTTCTAACAGGTTTTCTTTAGGTAACTTAGCTGAATCTCTTGAGGGTGAAACACTTCTGGCCTTCCTCTCTTGCATAAGGTCTATAAATAGTTGCAGTTAATTTGCAGGCAACTGCGGGCTTATGGAAAAGCAAGGACACTGTGGAGAATGTACTCTTTGATTTTTATTTTTTTTCATGGCATCGAGAGGATGGTTGTTGCTTTCTGTTTGAGTGGATTTCCATTGCAGTTACTCACAGAGTGGTGTAAGGAAAAGGCCCATTCTGTGTGTATGGATATGGACAGTGACACCTGACCCTCACGTGAGCCCTGTAGAGCAGGAAATGTGCCTGTGGAGAGGATGGCGTGTGGTTCCGTGTAATGGCTGGTGGGGAATTTATTTCCATGGAATCACATACAAATCATTAAGAGTTTTGATAAACCACCATTTTCAGTCACCACTAGGACTAATTTCACTGGTGTTAATGCTGCACCTCTTGTGAAAGTCTAAGCCTCTCTTATAATGGTTTGACTGCAGTCTTTTTGGCTTGGTTCTATCTCAGGTTTACTAAGGTTGGACTTGCTCATTCTTATGGTCTGGAGGTTGTTTTCAGTATGTCAGCAGGGCATGTTTGTTCCATGTGATTTTTATTATAGGTTTGGCTAGGTGTTAATGTTGCATATAATTTATTTCTCTTACAATTAGTGAGTTCTGTTGTAATAGTTTCTATTTTGGAGTCACACGTAAGTCTTGATGTGTCTTCTGTGGCATTTTTTATTTACAAAATAGTTTTATATACTAGTAACTGGGAGGTAATGAACTTCTAATTTGTAGAGAGTTTTGATATTCACACTATTTTGTAATGTTAGAAGCTAGTGAATAAGTCTGGAAGCTTGTTTCTTTTAATTCTTTTAATACTCCTATGGCTTTTATTCTCTAACCTGTCACCTTCTGCATTTTTCTGCTGCTTTGTCATCCTTAGTAATAGTAATGGTTAAGAATTATCTACTTGGATTTTGGGTGACAAAGGTACATAGAAGATTAAATCTTTATAGATTTTTCTTTGAGAGTTTTTAATTTTTTACAAGAGAGGAAGAAATGATAAATCCAAGAAGAGAATTTTTGTAGATTCTTACTGCAGTATCTAACTTCTTATTTTAATTCCTGGTTAGAAAAACAAAATAGTCTAAAATAGCATTAGCTTAGGTCTCAGAGTTCTTGTTTAGCAAATCAATAATTTTTATTAAATTACTTCTTAGTATGCACATCAATTGCAGCTTCATGATTTTTAGTTTTTGAAACAGAACTGTTGGAACATGTTAATTCTGTTTATTATTGACTACTCAATAAATAGGAACTCTCCAAATATTTGTTTATTTTTTATGTGAGAACTATCTTTTTTTTCTTTTAGTATTCAACATGTATATGGAGCTCAGCATCCACCATTTGATCCATTATTGCATGGAACGTAAGTTAACCTAATATTTAAATATTCCAAGTATTTTGTATCTCCTCTTTTTTTTTTTTTTTTCTCCTGTTGGCTGTAAATTTATTGTTATCTTCCTTTTTCAATTTTTGTCATAATCTTCACTTCTTGTTCTGACTTCTCCTTTGTGACTTCCTGGTTGTTACCATATTTGCAGGAACAAATCAGCTCTTTCAGATCTTAACGTAGATTGCCAACCGTTATAATTTATTTATAGTGCCTTACACATGGGAAATCATGATGAAGTGAAAAATATAGTGTTACAGAGACAAGTATTTGCTTGGAAGGATGTCATGCTTCTATTAGATTTTTTTCAAGGGCTAGTTTCAGACTGTACAAGAAGTAAGCATTCTAGTTAATTTTCAGATGATACAGAGTTGGAGACAGTTGAAATGAGTGATCCTAAGGGTGAAATTAAAACCAATTTGATTTATTGGTTCAAAATGTGGACGTATAGAGACCCAGTAACAAAACCCAGGTTTGTTGTTTGAGGCGACAGAATAAAGACCTTGCTGTTTTAGACAGTGTTGGCAAGTCAGGTGAGTGTAAGTGTTGTATCACCTGTTAGGGAAGATATTCCCTGTAACATGTAACAGAAAAGTTGCAACTGATATAATATGAGAACTGGGGAAGAACTACTTCTGATTTGCAGTTCTGCCTGCTTTATCTTAACAGAGAAAAGTAAAACTAACCCAGGTGGAGAGGTGGGGAGGTCAGTAATTAACTCAAGAATCATTTTGATGCAATTCTGTGCAAGATGACCCTGCTTGAACAGGGTGTTTGGGCCAAATGACCATCTGTGATCCCTTCCCATCTTGCCCATTCTGTGAACGCACAATTAAATTAATGCTAGCAACTTCATTTTTTGGGAACAGACTAAGAAACCCTCCCAACTTTATACATTATTCAGCTCACTTCTGAAGGGAGACGTGATTACTCTGTATTACTTTAAGTGAGAACAAGTGCCAGGCTAGGGAGGGATACTTGTCATATCTCATACTGTGTGTTGACAGAGGGGTGAAAGGTTGGGAGCTGATCAGGGTCCACTTAGACTAGTAACTAGAAGAAATATCTTTCCTCTGAGAAGAGCAAAGTTCTGAAGGAAATCCATGCTGGCATGCCTGGATGGGGATGAATGATAGACTTAATGAGTTTTAGGGTGAGACTTGGTTTGTTTATGACAGTGATTGTGTTGCGTGATTGCTTATGATGACTTAGGGGTAGACCATGGCTTGATTGCAGCTCCTGTGCTGTAATGCAGCAATTGCATTGAAAGGGCTGAAATCTACAGAAATGGGTGAAGCAAGAGCAGTGCAGTATGCCCTGTCTATTTTATAAGCTATTCTAGTACTAATCCTTTCATGTGACTTTGGGGTTGGTCTTTTTTTTTGTTTTTTGCTTTTTTTCTTAAGAAAAGGGAAGGAAAGATTTGTTTAGTTTCTATTCAAAGCAACAAAGTGCCAGTTTTTACATTGTTCTCAGGTTTCTTCAGTTGTGTATTACCATAGGTGGATGTAATGGCAACATGAGTGTAGAGAGAGAAATATTTGCTACCTATATAGTGTCAACTATAAGCTTATGGGGTTTGGTACTACCCAGAGTGTTTTGCTTCCTTACTAGTTTTCTAAATATTACTTGTTTTTGAACAGCTTGATAAAACCAGGCTCAAAGCCACCTACAACTCCAGTGAAACTGAAGAAAGTCAGCACCTTCCAAGAATTTGAAAGTAACACAAGTGATGCTTGGGATCTTGGAGATGATGATGATGAACTCCTAGCAATAGCTGCTGAAAACTTAAATACAGAAGTGGTCATGGAAACAGCTCACAAAGTAATTCAGAATCACAGCAAGCTACAAGAACAGCATAAATTTCAGGAAGAACATCTACAGGAAGAAAAACAAGAGGAATTTGCACAGCTGACTTCAGCTGCATGTGGTGATAATAGGCTTGTTAAATCAGTCAGTGAAGGTCATACTTCGAGTTCATTAGGTATGTTGAAAAGTGAAAAAGATGTTGGAATTTAAAGGATGAGAGCTACCATATTTGCCCCAGTAAGACAGTAAACCCTTCCCAACCCTTTATTAATATCACAGAAAAATACTGTTTGTCACTAGTGATTTATTTGAGAGGAAGATTGCATGCCTTACTAAATTGTAATGCATGTGTGTGAGGGAAGAATAATTAAACTTTTTTGTTTTCAGCCTTAAAAAATCTCCAATTTTGGAAGGAAGTTCCACTATTGAATGTAATTTATTGGTTAAATGCACTAAGTTTTATTCAATTAATAGTTATGCTACTATTGTGAAAAAATATAAATAAATCATAATTGAAATATATTGAAAAGCTGGAGAAAATAATGCAGGTGGACTGGGAGATTCATCCTCATGTGATGTGTTCCATGGTTTTGTAAAAAGCTTTAAATTGCAATAATTTCAAGATTTCTCAGTGATTTTTTTTTTTTTTTAAAGAATGTTAGGAAGAATGAAAATGGCTTTTAATAATATAGAGATTTTAGAAATCCACGAGCCTTGCTATTATTATGATCTCTAATTGATGTATTTTAGTTGTGGAATACTGCTTCAAAGCAAAAAGCTCCTTTTGCTAAATCCAAGTAGTTTGAAGTCCACTTCTGCTGTATTTGAGTTTGCATTTTTCAAAAACAGAATTCTATTTTAAATTTTCAAATTAAATTCAACTGATTACTAGCCTTCTCACTACTAACTGCTGTACTTCTTTTTCCCTTCAGATAATGCTAGTGAAAATTCTTCCATGCAGAGATCACAGTCACTTCCACAAACTTCCATACCTCCCTTGACAAGTGGAATGGCAGACTACAGCACCTCAGTTACTCCTGCATTAACTGAGAGAGAAGCGTCTCGATTAGACAAATTTAGGCAGCTACTTGCTGGCCCAAATACAGATCTTGGTGAGTGTTTCTCCATAGGACCTATGAATTATATCTAAATTATTCTTAAACTATAGGATTTTTCTGTTTGATGTACTGTCCTGCCATATGGTTTGGTTAGAATCTAATCCTTTCAACACTAAAAATTGATCTTACAAAAGAATGATTAAAAGGAGTACTACGAACTCTCAATTTTATTCTATGATTTGCATATGTCCTATGCATATGCTAATATGTGGGGCGTTCAGTGGTTTCTTGTTCTTTCTCACATTATTTCTTCCTGCTACACTGATCTCTGTAGAAAACACCCCAAAGTATAATTAGCTGTGTTTATTGTTAATGCCTGATAATGGAACAGCTTGGTGTATAAGTGTGATTTTCATGCTTGGAAATAAATAGGAGTGAAAAATGATGAGCCCTGTAAGTATTACTGCTTGTCTACTCAGTGAGCCTTCTTCATGTTCACAGGCTGATACAGTAGTTCTGTGTCTCATCTGTGAATGCTGACAACAAGTCAATGGGAAAACAAATGTATTGTCAGATAACTTGAATGTTCCCTTTGTATACTGGATTTTAGCTGCTGAATAGTCAATACAAGTGCTGAGAGGGTATCACAGAATCAAATGGCTTTGTATCCCAAGTGAAAATCTGAAGCAGAATTAGTACACTGAATTTGGAGAACTTGGTGATTGGGAGTTGAGGGCAAAGTCATGAATAAAGAAAATGTCTTTGAGGTTGACCATTCTGGAAGTATCTCCAGGAAACTTGGAGAAAGAAGTATAAATTGCATGCTTGCAGTTCTTGAATTGATGCTCTCCTTCCTGGTCATTGTCATGAGGCTTCTTCAATATAATACAGTCCAAGTTGTGACTTTAATTTTTTTTCCTCTATGCTGTGTCTTATTGTCAGATTGCTGCTGGGCAAGTACAATTATGGTAACTATAATAACTGCAGGAGATTGAGCATTTCAGTGAGTTATAGGACATTCTTATGAAATGCAGCTAGGAATAAAGGGAGGTATTAAAATGTATTTTATGTAAACTTGAAAATGGTAATCAAATCTTGCTTTTTAGCCCTTTGATCTAGCAGATGTTATGACCTTTGTGATTGTGACTAACATGAAAACTCATAGCTTAAGAATGTTGTGGTGGTAGAAATCTTTGTTACACAAGGTTGCAAAATCAGAGGAAAGAGAGTTCAGTTTAAACCTATCCATTTTACTTGTGCTGCCTAATTTGTTGGGAGTACTTTACCAGTAAATCTGACCTATGGATTAAGGTGAAATAATTCTGGAAGAAAATTTCCAGTCTTATTAGGACTGCAGTCACCCTGCCTGTGGTGAACTTAGTCAATGCTATTTAAACAAACTAGTGTTTTTTTGGGTTTTTTTTTGCTATTGAACTTTATGAATCTCACACTGAAATATATGTAGGAAAGTAAAATTTGAATATGCTTCCATGATATTCAAGTGTGAAAAATATCTAGTAAGCTTGCAATATTATTTCTTGTACAAACAACTAAATAATGCCTTTTCTACATCTGTTTATTGGAAGCTTGTACAATCTCTTGCTGTACAAACTGATTAGTACAGTTTGAAGTTGTGTGAATAGAATTTTACACCCAGTTTTGATTTTTTGATGTAAATATTTTGCCTTTTGTATCTAGAATATGTCCGATAGCACATATATCTATAGTTATCTGTCTATGGGTAATACATGATTTTTTTTTTAGTGGAGGAAATAAACTTGTTATTGATGATGTGCAAGCTCTTGATGATCATGAAGCTCTTAGTACATCATATATAATAGTAGTAGCATTGTTGGTATATGGTAGGGAAAGTGTATGTGTGTATATATATATATACTTATGCAAACGTATATGCTTATTGCCATATACACAATTCATCAGAATCTGTGTGTGCATGTCTATATGCATTTTTAATGTATGCATTTTTGGAGGATGTTTGGTTCAGCTCTGTGCTACGGTGAAGATTGTTTAAAAAGTATTCTTGATTTATAATGACAGCAGTGGACTTGGAAAGCACTGCAGATTGTGTGTGGTGGGTTTTTAAATTTGTTGTTAGGGTGTTTTTTGTAGTTTTGTTTTGGGTTTTTTTTCTTCCCCATGCTTTTCTTCAGAACAATACTGGAAGGTAGAAACTAGGCAGTAGGCTCCAAGCTAAAATTTGTGGTGAGTAATACAGGGATAGGTGGCTATTCTCTTGCAGGTGGCTTATTCTGTCTGTGCATATGTGTGATGATGTGGTATGTGTGGGTCTGTTTTGTTTTACAGCCACAAATAGTTGGGTTTTGTTTGTAACAATGAATGAAATTAGTAAGACATGGAGATATTTTTATAAATATTTCTCTTCATTTCTGCAAGTATTAGGCTTGATTTTTTTTTGGAAGTAGAAGTAACAGAAGTAAACTATTTCTATTGTGTTTGTTTCCTTGATCTAGTTTTGCATATTGTTGAAACAGATTATGTAACGAGTCTTTTCAAAGCAAAATAAAAGTAAGTTAATCTGTGGAACTGTAGCCATTTCATGCACATATCCTCTTATCATAATGGGAGAAATCAGCATTGACTATGAATACAGAGTAATACAAATGACCTTGAAATCCTTTCAGTCACAGTTGAATAGTCATTATCCTATAAAGATAGTGTAAAATGCAAGTTTAGTCTTGTATGCCAACTAGAGGTGTGAAAGGGTGTGTTCTTTCACAAGAAAACTCTCAAAAAGGCGGATTATGTATATAAATTTGGAAGTGAAGATTATTTTAGTCATTGGAAACCACTAAGAGATTTTGGAGTTGGGTTTGGTCCACAAGCTAGATACTTTGAACTTGTGGAAATAGTAGTTACTGCAAGAAATGTGGGCTAATAGAAGGAGCCTATTGTGAGGTGCACGGGGGCAGATTCAGGAGGCAGAGTGGGACTCTAGGATAGCTGAGTTTGGGAGACAGCTGCAGAGTAGACTGTAAGGGTTTATTTGACTGAATAGTTTCCCACTCCCAGTACTGCATGCCAGGTTATTCAGCAGGAATCATTCACAGTAGTTTTTGTGCAATCAACCTGTGTTCGTGCTTGACTTGCAGTCAGTTTGCTGTAGACTTACTTCATTTCAGGTCTTGTCTTTCCTTGTAATGGACCTTGCATTACTGAGCGAAGATGGGCTTGTAGAATCTTTTGCAAACAGTTGCTTGCTTTAAGAGGGAACAGAACTTTAACAAAACAGTATGGGGGGAGTATTTCTGAGAAGAAATTTTTCTTTTCTTCACAGACCACTTTGTACTTATTAGAGGAACAGTACTGCTGTGTCTATCAGGTTTCCAATTAAAGTTTAATTATTTTTATTAAATTTGTGTTTTTCAATAATCTTGTAAAATGTTTGTGAAAAAAAAACAGGGAGCTGTTTACTGTTCAAATGCAATGTAAGCAATGTTGATAAAATCTGACAAAACAAGTTATTGCATACTTGAAGCTTCAGCATAGCAGATTTATGATGGGTTTTTAATACCAGTTTAAAAATTAGCTGATTAAAGCACTTCCTTAACTCCTTCTTTATCTTCAAATCAACAATTTTTCTGCTTTTTTACACATATATGGCTAATGAGTATTTAACTGGATGTGAGAAGTGTTCAAGTAAAACAACAACCAATAGTAAGCTGGGTGTACCATGTTCTCTTGGTTTAATAAAACTTCATAACATTGTAATGCTACTGATATGCAATATAACGTGTTATTTCAGAGTCAAACCAACTAATTTCTTAAGTTGTAAAATTGTTTTGCATGCTAGGGTCACTTTTTTTCCTACTTAGACATGACAAATCCCAAGCTGAATAAAATAATATGTTGACATTTTAGCATACTACCTTGACAAAAATAAGAGAGAGCCCTGTAAAAGCACCCATGAAAATTGTAAAGTATTCCAATCTTAAATTTATTCCAGCTGCTGTACAGATTCGAGAGCACTTTTCATTGTACTTTTTTAAACACTCATCTATTTCTCTTCTTCCTTCTGACCAAATCTCAGAAAAGAAGACCTTTTCAGAGGGTACTACAAGCTCCTGAGTTGGGTGCTGTCTGTTAGGTAGTCCTTTGCTATGGAAGTAGTGGATAATGTTGTGAAGTCGGTCAGAACATTTAAAAAATAGCTGAACTTTTGATTAGTATGATTGTGACAAAAAATACTTGCGTAGTTATACAGGAGTTAAAAATGCTGTAATCTCAGATTATCTCATAACAGTAGTTGGTTGTCTGTGTTGTCTGTGAATTCAAGAGTGGGTTTCTGGAAATTAAATTCAGAAAGAAAGCATGTTAGATTTCTCTTTTTCCCATCAGAGTGGTCTTCTGTATTTTTGCTGCAGCTTGAAAAGTAGGATTTTCCTATTCATGGTCACATCCATTCTAGATTTATATTAAACCTGATCTAACGTACTAATTACCTTTTCTTTCACTTATGGCTCATAAATCTAGTATTCTGTAACAGCAGTCTGTTATGTTCTGTTAAATTGCTTGCCAAACTGGTACTATTGAAAAGTTTCAATAACTTTACAAAATACATTAATTGAAACGAACTTGATTAATGTTGTTCCCAGCTTCATCAATTTATCTGTTCTAAGCTACACTGTGATTTATCTCTGTGCTCCTAGTACATCCATGTAATTTTGAATTTTAATGCCCCCTGCAGCTGTGAATTACTTGTAGTTGGTCATGTGAGTGCTTATTCTTCTTTCAGTTAGTTGATATATAGTATGAAGTTAACATGTGTCCTACTGCTGCTTTGTGTGACATGCCATCAGTCATATCTGTCTTTTCAAATTATCACCAAAAGGTGTCCTCTCTGATTCTTGTTCTGTTCTAGTTAGCTTTTTAGCGACAAAATGTGCTTTCCTATTTAGCTAATAAAAAAATTTAATAAAAAAGGGCAGTATTCTACCAATAGACTTTGTAACATCTTTTTTTATTGATTCAGAGTCTTCTGGAAGAAATGAATGCTCAATATTCATTATTGATTA